TCAGCACTAGCTAGATTACTGACCTATATTACTGCTACTGAGTAATTACTGCATTACTGCAATTACTGCTCCTTTTACTGACCTCACAGCAGTAAGGAATAAACAGTAAATACCAACCAAGGTGGGCGGACACCCGCACAAAGTTCAGAGATCTTGTTATTTATCATGCCTAACCTTGTTAAGGACATGCTACTCCCTGAAGTAGCCCCCAGATACATTAAGTGCCGTATGGTAACCACAAGATATTTCATAACACAGACTTTCTAAAGCCAACGCACAGACTCGGTACTTTGTTACACGAAGCACAACCTTCATAATTCCATTTGTCCCGAGGGTTAAGTTACTAAATAAGGATTTCACAGCATCTTCACAATCTTAACACCAAGGATATCAAATCCCCCCGATAACAGCATGCAATAATCTCATCTCGCAACACAACATGGTATCTATTTTATGTGCTCTTGCACCCAATCTAAGCAGGTCCCTGCCATTAGATGCCATATACCATCTTAAAGAGTAGATTCTCAGCTTTCAGGCGCACTATACCGGTACCCTGCCATGAACAGTGTTGTAATGGGTTAGATCGCTGCACGCAAAGTGTGGATAATGGGATTTGCGTCGGCATACTTACCTGTTGCTGTTATCCTTACATAGCGGCTCCTTGGTGGCAGGACCGGATGCATCGGATAGAGCTTGCTTTACTTAGTCAAGCATTGTATTGCACAATCTTCTTGCTGTTGAGTTGTTAGGAAGCTATTGCTGTTGGAATGGTCGGTGTCTTCTGTTGTTGTGCGTTGCAACAGCAATCAATGGATTTCTTTCTGCTGCAAAGAAGTCAGAATCGCTAGTAGCCGTCCTGCTCGCCATGGAATTTTGATCAGAGACACACAAAGAAGTGAGAGTGGTGGACCCATTTTGCGCCATTCCGTTGAGTTTGTTACTTACGCGATGATTTCCCCCACTGTTGTTGTGCAGCATTACGATGATGCTTGTATTGATTTTATATTATCACATCACTGCTAACCATCGTGCTCCTCCAAAGTATTGGAATACAAGGACGGAAGCATCGTTGATCCCTCCCATCGTCCAGCCCGCTTATGGGAAGCACCATGCCTTTGTTGTTGTGGAGGCGAAGAGAGAGTGTAGTAAGATTTTTCGCAATGATCAATATGGGTCCTATAGTACTGTCATGAAGTCCGTCTTGCTTGATGGATCCAACACATTGTTCAAGGCAGTTACGAACAGTAGCCTCCACCTTGTCTTCAAAAATGATCCGGAAGACTCTCCCAAAGTTGGTAGTACGCTGCTTGTGGAAAATTTCGGAATGATTGACTTGCAGCCGGCATATCCTTTCAAAGTAAGGTTTGTTATGTTGATCCACAAGATGACGTGGGTGACTCCGCCAAGCATCAGTCTGAATGCCGAAAAGGATGTCTGTGAGGTGGAGAAGAAAAAGGTGTTGTCGTATGGGAAGCATTATTTCACCCAACAACGATTCTGCCAGTTTGCAGTGGACATTGTCCGCAAGGAGGGCTTGATGGTTCCGGTTGTTACCACCGAGTATCATCCGGAAAGGAAGGAGTTCTACCGTGTCATCAGTAAGTCGGTTTCTCTTTCTCAGTACCAGGATGGCAAATGGATTCGCAAGTTGAAGTCGAAGGCTGATTGGTTGAGCAAAATCCAGAAGAAAATGTTCAGGGCTCAGCAAGATGGAAAGATCAAGGAAGAACGTCCTCTAATTCAGATTTACCAGTTCGCCAAGGAAGGTCTCATGAACTACCCGCCCGGGTGCGAACGCGATGAGGATGAGAGCAAGCGTCCTCCTGGTTGCGATTGCATGGTGAAGTTTGAGTTCGATGCTTGCGTTGTCGAGATGTGTCCTCTCATCTCAACTTGGTTGACACTGATATGTTGTATGAGTCTGCCAAGATCAACTTGTATGGTGATATGGATGGCGCTTCATTCCATGATTTGGCTCCCAACCATCAGCGTTGGTTGTTCGACTACCACTACGCCATGAGTATCTACCACATCCGTGGTGTGAGGACAACTCTTCCAGCATGCTTTGTCGACAGGGTGCGCAACATGTTCCCAAACAAGAGTGGAACTGGATACACCACGGTGACACCAATGACTCGCAAACGTGGTGGTGCAACTTTGCTTCCTCCCTCGCCGATTGTCTCAGGATCGCTTTGCCCAGGATCGCCGGTCTCTATTATGCTTTTGAAGAAGATGGAACGTACCAAACAGCGAATGAACGAGGCTTCCGAAGAGGTTAGGAGGCGCCATTTTGCCAAGGTGAACAAGGCGATGGCGATGAAGAAGGATAGTGGCGAAGATAGTGGCGATTTCAAGGAAAGTGCAAAATATGCCATCGCGGCTGATACCACCGCCACCACCGACTCGGAAGAGAGTGTTGGATCTGTCTAAGTGACTTTCGACGTCCACCAATCAATTATTGTTCCGTCCCACTTGGCTGTGTCTTGTCGCCCAGAAGAATCGTTATCAGCCAATGAATAGGTAGACACAGTAAAATAGTATAAAAGCATTGGCAACTACTAATTATTATCAGCAAATCAAAGCTCGCCAATCAGACAGAGTTGTCGTGTGACTGGACGTGCGCACTCCCGTCGCCACCTGCCTGTCAAGCTTATTGTATCTATGAAACTGACCTCCAGAAAGAATGTGTCATCCGTTGTGGCGGTATGTTCCTCTGGTGTCTGCATAGAATCATTGGTATCTTCAACATCCAGGACGGATGTTGAGGTGGCTTGACCTGTGAGCAACACATCTTGATTGGACGTCGCTTTGGATTTGGTCGTGCAGTCATTTTTCCTTTTCCGCGGCTTGAAGTATCGACACAATCGACTATTCGCCATCTTGTGGCCAATACCTTTGCATCTTTTACACCGAACAATGACACCGCTTCCTTCACCACTTTCATCCATTGCACAGCCAGTTGCGTAGCCCGTACCAGCAGCCTTGTCATCGCAAAGCATCTGGATATATTCCCTTATCTTTTCTTGATCGGCTTCTTTCCTTTTCCTTTTCACGTCACTCCTTCTTGATTTCGCCAACTGATACAATCTTGCTTTGTCGCATTGTCGGAGGAAGTATTCCGTGGAAGCAACCATGGTGAGACCAAGCTCTTCAAACAACTGACGGAAACACTCAAAGTAACCAACCAGATGAATCGAAATGGCAAGTCCAATCCGGTTGCGCAATGAATCGGAGCCACAGTAAGTCTTATTCTTTGGAGCGAACCAACTGATCAGTTGATTCAAGGACTCATTGACGTTTGTATCACTTCCATGGGAAACCTCGCGCAGGGCTGTCAATGTGATGTACGGAGCGAGTATCTCTTCAACACGGTGTACAGTTCAGAGTGTGTCTCCATGGAGCGGTAAGCTTTTTCGCTCGCAACTTTCTGTTTGGCGGTTTCTGTTCTTCTCAAACACCATTCGCTGCAGTTGTCATGTTTGTCGAAATGATGATCAAATATACACTTTACCTTCTCTTCCCACACAGACTCGTCCCATTGATCCAACTGCCTCACGAAATAGATGAAATAGAATGTCAACCGGACCACATCATCTTCAGCCATTCCATGATTCTTGTCCACAGTTTGACTCAGCAACTTGTACAGTTTGTTGCGAAATGTCTTCTTCCTGTGTGCTGGATCAGCGAGGAACTCTGGCGGTGGTACTGGATACTTCAAGTATCCTTCCTTCCGGTGAATTGGTTGTCGGCGTTGATCTTTTGCCTTAGGACCTGGTTGCCTCCAGCCAATGATCAAATCCTTTTTGTCTGTGTGTCCAGGGTGGTTCATCCAGTCTTCGTTAGACCATTTACAATTGGATTTCATGTGGCTGTCATCATCCGTTATCACTGTCTTGGCGATGACATGATGCGAAAAGTACAACCATTCAGTCATTTCAATGAGGGCGGGCGGTGGACTCCATGGAACTGGAGCTACCAAGAACATGGTTGACCTTACACTCATGGTCCCTGACAGTCTCCAGCGTGAGGTTCAATCTTGTTAGATGGTTGGAACAGACGTGACAGAACTTGCACTTGAGATGTTTTACAACAGGTTTGCGAGTTCTCGAGCCACCAAGAAGGCATGACCTGAGTTTGAATCATATCTTCGGCCACTGGAACGCTTCTGCCAACCCATATCCATCGACACATGCAAGAATATTGGGTACACAAAACCTTCAGGAACCTCATCTTCGACACCCAAAAGATTCTCCCACACTGCGTAATCGAAATCTTCTCTGCCTGTGTTGGTAATTTTCACTTCTTTCTTCAAATTGTCCACCATGTATTTGTCAACTATGCAATACACGGCTCTTAGCCTTATTCGCGACTCGATCCTGTGGGTTAGGATTGCTTGCAGCGTCTTTCGCGCTTGGTAGTCATATGAGAGACAGGTCTAATAGATTACTTCAAAATGACTAGCAAATAGCACGGCTTACTTAGCCTATTCGCGACTCGATCCTAGAGAGGGTTGAGGTTTTGATAGCTCGATGACGTAGTCTTACGCGAATAGTCATGAGACAGGGTTCTCATGATGCTAGGTCATACTAGGTTCCGATGAAACATCGCCTAGATATTAGCCAGCGTGGAACAGCTTACCACGCTACTAGACAGCTACTAGCTGAAGTTTCCACGTTTTCCGGAAATGGACCTGGGAGTACGTAGAGTTATTACATAATCTACGATATCACAATTCAAGGCCTCCCGCTGGGAGACAACTTCACATGAGCTTCACAACCATCTTCTCTCATGGATTAGTTTTCGATAGCTTTCTAATCTCTCTCATACTTTATCTCTCAAACTCAAAACATCGAAGATCTTTACACTAGCTTATAGAGATTATGGATGGATTTTGTTAACAAAACACAATAGCTTTCAGCTACGCTCAACCTATTCCTCACCATGAAGATGCTCAAGGAAGCATGCGTTCCCAACTTTCAGAAACAGTTGCGTGAACAACCCATTCTTCCTCTGTGGACAAACGACAGAAGAACCGATGATCGACGATACTCTGCAGACCACCTAAAACTTCGCACCGTTTCTCAGATGCAAACAGTGCACAAATACACCTTCAAGGTAGCCAATATCAATGGCTCCAAACACCGCCGTCAGACCATCAAGAGGGCACGAATTATGGAGAGGTTCGTTGTACTCAACCTGCATCCGACGACAGACATCGCCTTCTCAAGGAGATGACTTCCAGCTGTCGAAGAGTGCCTACGAGTGGGTGTGCAGGCCAGTCTGCCGTGCGTCATAACGACCCTTACGACAAATCGCTGTGAATCAGTTGCAGTCCACGCGATCAGTAACTTCGGAGAAACCGAAATCAGCAATCGCATGCTCGTATTCTAAGCCGTCATGGGACGGTGGTGCAGCGGATCCCGCTTAAGCGATGATGACATCACTTGGAATCAACGCGTTATCGAAGCAGCCTGTCCTTACAGGCTCTCGAAAAACAGAACGCTTCATGCGTCGCAAAATGCGTAAGCCTAGCGAGATGAAAACTCGCGCCTACATAAAACCTCATAGGATGAATACCGATGAGATTGCCCCACGTTTGCCACTTCGGTGTCAATCAACGTTGAACCAGGACGAATTATCGAATCATGCTGTCATGGCATTCTCGTTCCTTGGATGCGCAAGATGGACGAACTATCGACTTCGATTCATTTCACTGCCGAGATGGCAACGCTCATTGGATTCTGTGAGCGCATGGAATCCGCCGAAGAATTTGACAAAGGCAGGATGCCAAGCAGAGTTCCTTCGAAGAGAAGAACAGCAGGAAGACAGGTAATCCTACTCGCAACAGACATTCTTCAAAGACGAAGAAAAGTGGTGATGAATACCACGAGTCCAGCACTAACAACACTGCTGAGATCTGCATGACTCTGAAGAAAGCTACAAGCCAAATCTTCAGTCTCGAGACAACGAAAAAAGCCAACGTACAACAAGAAACAAGAATTGGAAACGCAATCCGACGACTGCCAAGTATCTCTACATACCAAAAGTGAACTTTCGGTTCCTTATGAAGAAAGTCCTCCACACGCTGCGGTCAAGGCGGGATTCGGCAAGAAGAAAAGCGAATGCAAGCCATGTTGCCCGAAAACCAAGTCGGACGAACCTGACGCGGACAAGACGAACTCCTCTGTTCGGTCCACTCACAGATGGACAAGAAAATGGCTGCATCGACAAGGCTCTTGCCGACTTTGACTTCACATCATTCAGATGGAGAGATCTCCAGTCTGAGGATTAGGCCAGGATGATGGATTCAATCGGAACCATGTTCATAATTTCTCATACCTAAGTGAATGAAGATATCTCACTAACAAGTAAACCAAGAATGTTTGCAACGATTGAAGTCTACGGCAAATTAGATAATTGCCTAGAAGCTGCTAAACTATAGATTCTGACGATCTTCAAGCATTGTTGACTCGTCCGTGGCAAATACACCTCTCAACGTGCGAAAAAGAGACCTCAAAATATGTCTATGTTAATTTAACAAGGAAAAAGGGAAACAAAACCCGTTACACTCCTGTGCTGACAAGGATACAAGGAGCATCCGAAACCTGATTACCCAAATTAGATGCTTAAGAGATTAAGCATGAAGGATCTGGGAGGCGTCCAAACACATAGGACTACCTTTGTAAAGGAATTGAAACCCAGCACGAAGTTAAGGGGCACACTGGATCCTTGTTCCACGATGATAGAATAATCAATGGAATTTACACGCCACAGAAAGAACGTTGGGGGGTTGGCGTATGAATAGATCATAGTCGAGACTTTCTCTCTCCGTCTGCATAGAATCAAGTTCGATGTCCACTACCCTTCCAGCGAAGTGAATAGCACATCTTCCTATGAAAAGATAGCAATCCTAAGTAAGAGCAGGAACCGCTTCTGCCTTATTGACCAAGTGCGCGACCAATTCGAAGGTACCTTTAGGAAAGCGACAAATGAGACGAAGAGAACGAAGTAGAAAACTTTTCTTCGTCTGACGCTATCCCTAAACTCACAGAACTAAATAACTTAATCTA